CCGGGTTTGTTCTCATACCTTCTATCTTCTTCGTTATCCACGGGCATCCGCTGTACTCTATTTTTGCTCTTTGGAGGTATTCCACAGGTTGACGTGACAGTGCATCTGCTACGACGTTACAGCGGCCCTTCCTGTATTGAATCGAAAAAGTGTATTGTTGCAGCTCGAGGGCCCAGCGTGCCAACCTGCCTGTAGGGTTATCGATGGAGTTGAGCCATTTCAAAGATAGATGGTCGGTTATAACATTAAAGTGATAACCTTCTAAATAGGGGCGCATCTTCCGAATACCCCAAACTATGGCTAGACATTCCTTCTCAGTTGCGGAGTAATTTCTTTCTGCTCCAATTAGGACCCTACTAGCATACGCAATGACTCTCTCCGTGCCTTCGAGGACTTGCGTTAATACGGCTCCTAGCCCGTAGTCACTAGCATCTGTTTGTAGTGAAAAAGGTTTTGCAAAATCCGGGCAAGCTAGTACCGGTGCTTCTGTCAGACGAAGCTTCAGTATTTCAAAAACTGTTTGCTGGTTCTCGGTCCAACGCCAATGCTTTCCTTTTTTCAACATGGAGGTGAGAGGGTATGCTAAGGTTGCAAAATCAGGAACAAATCTGCGGTACCACGACACTACTCCTAAAAACCGGCGGAGTTCTTTTAGGCAGTTGGGGGTTGGCAGTTCACGAATGGCCGCAACCTTATCTGGGTCCGTGTGGATGCCTTGGGCGCTAACGACGTGGCCGAGGTATTTGGTCTCTTTCTTGAAAAAGTCGCATTTTTCTGGGTTTATGCGCAGATTCACCCTTCGTAGTCTTCGGAACACCTCTCTTAAATTTTCCAAATGTTCTTCTAATGTTTTACCTATGACAATGATGTCATCTAAATAGGCAAATGCGTGTGGTTCCATGTCAGCGCCTATTACGGTGTCGAGGGCACGTTGGAATGTAGCGGGGGCGGAATGCAGTCCAAAAGGCATCACCCGCCATTGGTATAACCCTCTCCCGGGTACAGTGAATGCCGTGTACTTTCTGCTAGTCTCTTCCAATGGTATCTGCCAATATCCATCCTTTAAGTCGAGGCTACTGACAAAATTCGCCTCCCTGAGTCGGTCGAGAATGGACGAGATCCGCGGTAAGGGGTACGCATCGGGATCGGACTTACTGTTTAAATGGCGAAAATCCATACAAAGTCTCCAAGTACCGTTCTTCTTTCGAGCCAATGTAATTGGTGAGTTGTACGGACTACGTGAAGGTTCTATAAATCCCTTACTAAGGAGTTCATTTACCTTTTCCTGGACGATGGCCTGCATTGCTGGGTTCCTTGCTGCATACCGCAGCTTGAATGGCCTATCGTCGTTCATGACAATTCGGTGAGAAGCGACCGTAGAGAATCCGTGCAACTCCTGAAATTTGCTTAGTTCTTCGTTGAGGAAAGCGTTTATCCTTTCTTGATCAGTGGGGCTTAGCACACTTACCGTGGGTGACAAGGTAGGTTCTTGCAATCCCGGGTTTATCGTGTTTGTGCCGTCGTCTTTCTCGGATTCCGGTGGTTGGTGTGTGGTTACTGTCAGGTGTAGATGCTTTTCGATTGTTCTCTCTGTTTCTTCGATACACGGTATGACACAGCTTAACCCAGCACAAAGTATTTTAGTCCTGCTCCGTTGGAGAAAATCCATCCCCAAGATTATATCTTCGCTGGCGTGGGGCATAATCAGGAATTCCATTTTCATTCTGCATTGTCCAAAGATTAGATCGGTAACCACCGAATGCTGAACTCTCCGTTGTGACCCGTCTGCCAACCCGATCGTTATATCCTGTGTTCTCTGTATGGTTTGGGGATCGATCGTCTGGGCGTACGCCTCACTTATGAAGCTCCTGGTTGCCCCTGTGTCAACGGTGGCCAGGCAACGCCGACTGTGAATTATAATTTCTGCAATTATGCGTGAGGCGGTACTGTAGAGCGATGTTCCTCCTGCGTTGGAGTGGGTGTCTGCGAGCCCACATTCTCTACCTCCATGCGGACTCGATGCTCGTTTCCCGATCGCTTTCGACAGCACTGTATCGTCCGAATGCCTCTTCGACCACACTCCCAGCAGAAGAGCTTCTGTGGATTGCGGCATCCAGCTGCGAAATGGCCCTCCTGGCCGCATCTTCGACAAGCCGTGGCTGTGTTGATCGGTACCTCACGCATACTCTCCGAGCTTCGTGACTCAATTCGGTGGTGGTGATCTCTGGCTACGGTTGGCATGGTCGGGATATCCTCTAAGTCTTCGGCCATCTCTAAGAGGCCCGCCAGATTGGTGAAGTCCCTCCGTCTGATGTACCACAAGTATTCCGGTAAGGCATTCTTAAAAATTCGTTCCATTTTCTGCTCCTCGTTGTAACTAGTGTGTCTCATTAGGTCTTGCATCGCTAGCATGTAGTCCTTGAACAGTTCACGCGGCTTCTGTTTTCGTTGCCGGATTTCGTCCTCCAAATTCTCCATAAACCTCGGAGGGAGGAAGAATTTCAAGAAATCCTTTCGAAATTCCTCCCAGGATCGCCAGGGTTTTCTGTTGTTCCGGAACCACATCAATGCCCGACCATGAAGCACTTCTGGCATTACGGTGATCAAATTGCCGTTAGGGATCTGGTACATCTCCGCCCTTTCTTCCAATCTCTCAACGAATTCCAAAGGTTTACTTTCACCGGTGAAGCTTATGCCCCACTTCCGTACTTGTTCCGCGATTGTTTGCACGTCTGGTGTTTTCTTGCCCCGGGACATTGGTACTTCTATCCGAGTTGCCTCTTCGCCATCTGTTTCTGCGCTCAGTTTCCTAGGCGTCGCCACCTTCGTGTCCCTCTCATGTATAGCTTGGATTTCTAACAGTCTTTTCATAATCTCCGGGGGGTGGTATTGGGCTATGTACATCGCGAATCGCTTTCGTTGTTCTTCAACCGTTCCATCGGTATCGCAGTTAAACTCGTCGAGGTACCTATTTAAATCGTCCTTACGAAGGCTGTACGCCCAGGACACACGTAAATCTACCGACATTTTATAGAATTCTTAATACACTCTCTAACTCTCTCTGTCCCTGCTCGGGCGCCACTGTAACGACAGGTTTCCCCTTAGGCTGGAGTAAGCTCGCCGGGGCCAAGGTTCGTAACAGAAAATTTGTTTGTGTGCGAGAGAGAAAGAGAAAGACGAGTGTTTTACGTTCTATAATGTTTATTCCGTACGCAATAGAGGTATATACAAAGTAAACTGAGATATTGCTTAATACTACTAGGATGACGTCTGTCCGAGATTAGGTGGGTAACTTTTGCCGTCCTTCGAAATGGAGACCTAGATAAGTACTCCTGGTGGGGAATGGACTGGGATGTTGGGAGTTGGAGACCTGGGTAAGTACTCTCACACAGGATACTCTCACTGGGATTCGGATTTTCCAGTTACGTAGGTCTATTGGGGAAATAAGCTAGGCAATACACACGAATTCTACTGCGAGAGACCTTGATAAGCACTCAGGCTAGGATACATAAGGATTCTACGGCAAGCGACCTTAATAAGTCCTCAAGCAAGGATACGTAAGGATTCTACGGCAAGAGACCTTAATAAGTACTCAAGCAAGGATACGTAAGGGTTCTACTGCAAGAGACCTTAATAAGTACTCAAGCAAGGATACGTAAGGATTCTACGGCAAGAGACCTTAATAAGTACTCAAGCAAGGATACGTAAGGATTCTACGGCAAGAGACCTTAATAAGTACTCAAGCAAGGATACGTAAGGGTTCTACGGCAAGAGACCTTAATAAGTACTCAAGCAAGGATACGTAAGGATTCTACGGCAAGAGACCTTAATAAGTACTCAAGCAAGGATACGTAGGGATTCTACAGCAAGAGACCTTAATAAGTACTCAAGCAAGGATACGTAAGGATTCTACAGCAAGAGACCTTAATAAGTACTCAAGCAAGGCTACGAAAGGATTCTACGGCAAGAGACCTTAATAAGTACTCAAGCAAGGCTACGAAAGGATTCTACGGCAAGAGACCTTAATAAGTACTCAAGCAAGGATACGTAAGGATTCTACGGCAAGAGACCTTAATAAGTACTCAAGCAAGGATACGTAAGGGTTCTACGGCAAGAGACCTTAATAAGTACTCAGGCAAGGATACGTAAGGATTCTACGGCAAGAGACCTTAATAAGTACTCAAGCAAGGATACGTAGGGATTCTACAGCAAGAGACCTTAATAAGTACTCAAGCAAGGATACGTAAAGATTCTACTTATTCAAGGATACGCAAGGATTCTACTTAGGCAAGGATTATACTGCAAGAGACCTGGATAAGTACTCAAGCAAGGACACGGAAGGGAATAGGGACCTGGATAAGTACCCTAGGACGGCTATTAGAATTATTCATACAATGTATCACTCACCTGGGATGGATGTGTCTTCTGTCGTTGTCCGGCACTGACTGTCTCTTCTCACTCGTTGATCTCCCTTTTATAGCAAGCCCCAACCACGTGTTCTAGCGTGAGATAACGGGAACTTGTTTTGATCAACTTGTCACAACAACATTGGCTGTGATCATCACAACCAATGGCTGTGATGTGTGAGAATAACGGTAACCCCTTGTATTTTGTTGTTTTCTTTTAACCGAGACAAATGAGAAAGTTGAGTTTTAGAATATTTATTTATTATTAAAGAACAAATAACACTGCAAGGTGTGAGCAAAATTGAGTGCCACGATTTTTGGTCGTCACAGTATTCCGCAGGATTTAGCATACATTTTCTACACAGTTGAATTAATTAACACCGATGTTCTCATGAATGCAAATTCCACAACTCGATTTTATAAATTTAAAGGTTTTGGCCACAATTTCAGTCGAAGTGATCGAAATTTATATTTTCATATGGAACCACCCATACAAGTTGTATTCAGAAAATTTTAAATTAAATTGTATATCCCATTCTTTTCCACAGTTCATTCAACATCAACAACGTAATTTTGTTTATTTTTCTTTTTCAGAATGAACATCAGAAAACAGACGGTGGCCTGGGAGCTGGTACGCCCATGTTCATAACCGAGGTAATGCACGGTTCAGCCTGTAATATTTTGTAAAATGGTGGCGATGTGTCTCGCCTTCAATGGATCTTGTCCTTTCATAGCTGATAATTTATTTAATTAATTGAAACTGAAAACAAAACAAAAAACCGACAACCGGAAGCTGTTACTGATTGAATCACAAAACATGGCTTCTTTAAATAGAAAACAAAAACCGAAAAACCAAACTCAAAAACATTGATCAAATATAAAATACATTCTTAGACTAGTTTACACTAATCCGATGTAGAAGATGCACCGTATTTAAAAAAAAATAGAAGAAGAAGATAAACAATTTATTGATATATATGTATGAAATGTTTGCTTTAACAAAACAATTATTAAATTTAAAATAATGTACAATTATTTTCGAACGATATTTGACTTGAACTGAAATTAAGCTCTTCAAGCATTGGCAGCAAAAACAGCAAAAATATATTTATTAATTTATAAATAAAAAAGATAATTAAACGTTTTTTTTTTGCATTTCCTTTTGTGCCAAAACTAAACGAAAATAAAATACGAACAAAATTAAAAAAAAAACATTCAAATGAAATGAGATCTGATATTATTGAAGATATTATTTTGAAAAACGAAATTTGTTTACTGTCGTAGAAGTAGTTTCGAACGAATATTCAGAACTGTATTTTGAAGCATTCCGCTCGAATGAAAACCAGCCTTAATCAAATTCAAAAAGGAAAACAAAATGTCTATTGTTGTCTATTTTACTCAATGATCATCTCGTCATCATGCACGCCCATCCACAGCCTGCACCCTCACACGCACCCCACACCCCCTTCATCGCATAATGGTCTAGTTCGTGCTATCTCTCAACAGAACGTTATTTGCATTTGAAATAAGAATAATAATTTCCGTTTCCCAAATTTTATAACATACTTATATATATATATATATATAAATTTATATGTATCGTGTGTATATACTTATATATTTTTCTACTTTTAAAATCATATGCATCACAACAAATTCGAAATCAATAAAAACAACAAGAACAAGAACTAAAATTATATTACAATTTACAAAACAAATGAAAATGGTATCAAATAAAGAAACAGAAACAAAAAAAGAATTGTAATCAAACCAAGTCCAAATTGTTTTAATATTGTGGGGATTCATACATGAAGTTAACAAGGCTAAAACAAGTTAAAAAGTATCAGTCGGTATAGGAAAATCAAACATTCATATCCAATTTTATGCGAAATCATAAATTCCGTATTCATACCAGGTTTCTGGTTGAGAGAAGTATTTAGTTGTAAAGAATCGCTGACTTGTTTCCCAAGTTATGGCAGATAAAAGTATTGAAAATGGTAGCTTTTTGCGGGGGGTTCGCAGATATATATTATCTTCAGAACAGATGTTTGTATGTGTGAAATTTGAAGAAAATTGCTTATTTTGCTTTCGTTGAGCGTTCAGTTTTCCGAAATTCTGAACCCTATGTGGGGGAGGTACCAGAAGGAATGGTCCGATCTCTACTATCTTTGTAACAGATATTGTGTTGATGGAAATATTGGGATGTACCAAATCTGAATGGAATCGGGTGTTAGTTTCGCGCTATATGAACTTCATGGATATTCAAAATTTTGCCCTTTTGTGGGAAAGGTACCAGAAGGAGTGGATCGATATATTCCGTCTTCACAGCAGATCTTGTGTTATTAGAGATAATGAGATGTGTAAAAAGCCAATCGGACTATTGCATCACATTTTATAAGAGTTATAATTATTACAAATTTTAACCCTTTGTGGAGGTATTTGATGAAGTGGACTGATATTGTCCATTTTCACACCTGACCTAGCACTAACGCAAATATTTATCTTGCAAAGTTGGAGCAAAATCGGATTATCGTTTCTCTTTCTGTGCAGAAAACCTGATTATTCTTTCTCTTTCGGAGCAGAAAAATATTTTTTTGAGGGACTAAAATCGATGATGCACGATTTGGCCGTATCAAATGATATATACCATATGTCATATGGCTGAGGGTATAATTAAGCTGGGAAAAATGAAGCTATGTGTTTAATAATTCTGTACATATAACCAATATTAGTGGAAATATGGCTGACAGAAGCTATACGAGGGAATGGAGTTTTGGAGGGTGATTTTTAAGAGCTTTAGGAAAGTTTTCCAAAAAAAATATATAACATTCAGAAAAAATCACGAAATCTTTATTCGAATTCATAATACGCCCATATAATCGAATTTTCAAATAATATTTCATACAAAACGCCGTGACGGATTCTCAGGTGGTCCATCCGCTTATCCAATTTTGGCATACGCTTTTCAAAATTTCGACTCCTTCCAATATTAAGCCCTGTATGGCCAGAAAGAAATTAGTTAAAAAAATTTGCCTTGAATTCTGAATTTTTAATAATTTTTTTCGTTCATAAAAACGTGAAACATCTCAAAACAATTGTAGGATATGTCGTAGTCTCCCCAGATTCCGATTTGCAACATAATGCAACAAGCTGCATCGTAATTAATTTAACTCTCCTCCAATGTCTAACCTTGACCCTGTTTTCTTTGGCAGTTTCTCAATCTCATGTGTCTCAATTCGTTTATCACAAAGCAAATTCCAAAAATCTTCTAAGGTCAGTTCAAATATTATTAAATTAATACAAACATGCAATCAGACGCGAGCACCCCTTTCATTTGCGTGTTCTTTGGGGAAAATAAACAAAACAAAAATGCCTCAAACTAAATGGGGAACAAATGTTTGAAAGTGAAAGTCCAATTTAATTTGAGAACAAGGTACAGGAAACAGGCTGCTCCCCAGCGCTAAGTGTTAGAGATGGGAAAATGGCAAAGGCCGTCCTATTCGATGTTTCCGATTGTTTATTACGGTTTTAGGCTTTGATAACTCCTAAGCAATTACTGTCAGTCTAATAAAAAAATACGGTAACTTCGGTTAGTAAAACTCAACCTAATATGAACCAAATTGATTCTGAAATTTCTTTGGTCTTTTGATTTAAAAGTCTGCCTTTGACCTATGCTAGAAAAAAACCTCTCTTGTGAGTAAAGTTTTGTTACAAGAGTTAGCAGCTCTAATTGGATAGTTACCCATCAAAAAAATATCAAAATCGGGAGAAGTCATCCCCGATCCCTGGCAATGTTCAAAAAATGAATCTGAATCGATTTTTACAAAGGCATTTAATCTCGAATCTAATATCACTGATATCGAGAGAATATTACGATTTCAGGTAGCTTTAAACTCAAATCGGCTGCAACATGTATATGGGAGTTATTGCAACATTTTCACCAAATTTGGTAGAATTTAATACACTTCTTTGCAGAAATCGACGTCATGCCTTAAAATTCATCTTATTTCGATATCTTACGCATTTGCTGCTAGAGAGAGCTAGAGAGCTATATATAAATTTGATCCGATTTTAATAAAATTTTTCAGAGATATTTCTAGAGTGAAAATTGCACAAAATAGTACTGATGTAGGTTCTCAATTAGGTTGGTTAAAAGTTAAATGTATGGGAGCTTAATCTATATCTGAACCGTTTTTTCCAAAATTACTTCTAGGACCTACATATCCCATCATTATAGTAAATCTAATGCTAGTGCAAATATTGCAAAGTGCGAAATACATTCAGAAGGAGTAGACCAATCAGTCCCTTTATCACCCTAGATCTGATGTATGTATATGGGAGTTGTATCTTAACCAGATCGGATTTTAACAATATTTTGCAAGAAATATTTCTAGGATGTATATTGCACGAAGTATTATTGCTAAAGGTACCCGATATTACGGATTTTAGATTGGTTAAATATGGGAGTTAAATTTATATCTGAAAGGCTTCTACAACCTAGGGCATATTCCATCTTTATAGTAAATCTAATGTTCGTACAAATATTGCAACGTTCAAAAAATTCGAAATACATTCGAATTTTATAAAAATTAAAATTATTCAAAATTTTCATTCTATATGAAGGAGGAACCAGAAGGAGTGGACTAAGCAGTTCCCCTAGATCTAAGATTAGTGGAAGTATAACATTTTTCGAAGTTAAAGAAATATCGGTAAATTATTTTGTGTTTTATGAAAATTATAATTATTCAAAATGTTGACCCTTTATAAGGTAGTCAACAGATGGAGCGAATCAAAGATCTGCGAAGTTTAATCATGTTACACGGGTTATAATTATTCAAAATTTTGACTCTATATGGGGAAGGTGCCGGAAGGAGTGGTCAGTTACAACCCACATGTACTCAAGATATCGTGTTGGTAGACATATTTGGATGTGCTTAGAATCGGACACTCATTTCACATTTTACTAACGACAGGATTATTTTATAAATTTTAGCCTGTTTCGGAATAGGTAGTGGAAGCGGTCTTTCGTTCTATTAAGTCTTCATACCAGAATTTGGAGAATAACAGACTTTTATTTTAAATTTTATAAGAGTTGAATAATCAATTTTGAATAATCAAAAGTTTAACCCATTGTGGAGAGGTACTAGAAGTTGTGGGTCTATATTGTCTATTTTCTCACCTAGCACTTATACAAATATGAGATTTTGTAAAGCATGATCAAAAATGGACGATCCTTTCTCGTTCCATGAAGTAAATTATTTTCTTGAAAATGTAAACCTTTTGTGGGGAGAGTAGCAGAAGAAGTGGGACGATATTGCCCATCTCTGAACTCGATCTAACTTTAACAATAATATTACGATGTACCGAGTTTAGACGAAATTGGATACACCCTTCGAAAATTATCGCCAGAGGATGGACACCGGCATATTAACACCAAACGTCTATTTCATTCGAAGACACCTACGATCAACAACCCTTATTCCAATGAGGCAGTATCTAAAACCGTTATTCCAATGGCCTTATTAAATGATATATGTCCCTTGTAGCCATATGGCCAAGTTTATAAAAATCTATACCAGCGATATTGCCGTCGATTGTTTGTCAGCACTACTAAGTGAATTAATTTTTAAAAATGAAATAATTTCAGGGCTAACCTTTTAAAATGGGTTATCGAACTTTGAGATTTCTTTATTTAGTGAATGCAACATTTTGTTTCACAAAATATTATTCGGCTGCACGCACATTGTGTTAATGCTAATTAGATGCTCTTAACGTAAGCAAGTATAAACTCAGATGCATGGAATGGAATACGAAAAAAGTGCGAAAAAAGACCTATGTTCTAAATACAGCAACTGAGGTATCCAGTATTTATACCGATTTGGATATCATTTTTACATGATGGAGGATATTTTTTATGGGCTAACCTTAGCTGCTTTAAATATATGTGATCTTAAAAAATATTTACTCTTTTTCTCTCACCCTTCCCCAAAATGCAATTTAAATGCATTGCAGTTGCAGTCAATAAACAAAAAAGTTTAAAAAAAGTTCAACCATTTTACATGTTTTTTATTGTTATTTAAATACCAAAAATTCATGGCATTGTGCAATACCAATTCATTTGCAATAAAAAGAATCAAAAAACAACAATAGCAACAACAAAATACAATTTATCTAAAACTAAGAAGTTCCCATTGTCGGATGTACAAATTGCTTGGTGGCATGTAACAGCTTTTGGCAAAAAGAAATACAAAAACACTTTGCTAATTCATTCAAGTTATCCTTCCCCACCTCTGCTCTTCACACCAGCTACATTGAGTGTATGCATGCATGTTCCTCTAGCGTCCTCACTCTTTCTCTCTATCTCTCTCCCTCCGTGTGCTTCGCCTTGCTCTTCATGGAATATTCCCAAATTTATGGCTGCTCAAGTCACATTTGTAACGTCACAAGGCAACAACGTTCTTCCGAAATATTTGAACTTTAAGCGCAAACACGCTGAGCTTTTAAAGGGCACCTGGGCTAATGAAATAAAAAGTAATGTGGAATAGTCCCAAAGAAACTGCTAAACCTTTCCGTGGGCCATCATCCAGCTAAAGAGGCGCTGCATTAGCATTTGCTTTCGATGGGAGTTCTTTGCATTTCTTGGAGCGTAAAAATGTCCATTAAAAAAAGCAGCCGCCACATTAAAAATACCTTTACTGCTGACATTAAAGGCCATGTCAGTGTATAAACATGTGAGTGTGTGTGTGTGTGTGTGTGTGTGTGCGAGTTAGTGTTTATTTTTACTTTCCTTCGGTTGCCTTCCTTTATTTCTGTTTTGTAAGCCAACACCAAGCTAAACAAAAAACAAGTTAAAACATTTTCAGTTGTTTCAGGCACTTTGGACGATTAAGAACCCAGAAGCGAATTCATTATGGAATCTTAGAAGAAAACGTGTTGCCACTCGGGTATCATATGTTCGGCCAAGTGTATGAGTGTGTGTGTGAATGCTTTCCAGCACAACAGCAGAGGATAATAATGAAAGTAATGTCAACACTAAATACCAATGACAGCAAACGATTTCCATGTGGCGCCTTTGTCTATGGCCAACTTCCGGTTTAAGCCAAGTTTTGTAAATATGAATTTGTGTGTGCCGACAATGATGAAAGCAAGCAGCAAGCAAGTGCCTTAGAAATTTTAATAAAGTTAAGCAAAATATGTTTTAAAATCAATTTATGATTAACGCATAATACGAAGTACACGACAATGGGGTGAGTTTTAAAATTAAATTGTATTCATCTCAAGAACATAATCATGTTTATAAATAGAATGAAGCAACATATACATATGTATTTCGATATGTGTTAAGGAATTCGATTACGGCAAGGATACACAATATTTAGTTTGTTCAGATGCCATTAACACGAGAAATTTCAATTATAGCTAAAGGTCTTAGCATGTTAAAGGTCTTAATTTGTTATTTTGTTATGAACAAATTAATACGTTGTGAAAGTTAGAAATTTAAGCAGAAATTTTAATATTAGCTGAGAGGAGTATCGAATGACTTAGGAAGTGCAATATGTCTTTCGAATTTTATTTAAAAATAATTTTCATCAGGGAAAATATCAGTTATTTCTCCATAAACAATATAGTTGGTATAGATATGACGTATTTGCTCAATGAATGTCACACATAGAAATCCGATTTTTTTGGGCTATTGATACAAAAATTGTTCTCCTTTCATGATGTTATGTTAGAAAACTCTTTACTTGGACCATCACTTAGAGTGACAAAACGATTGTGTTCAAACCGAATTTTATATAAAATTATTTACATTTTACATGTTTTCATTTTGAGCCGTCGGAGGACTTCTTCCAATCTATTTGATTGCATTTTGAGATTTTTATTTATCTGGGGCTGGATTATTTTCATAACCTCAGGCGGGTGGCTGCAGAGGGTATAATCATTTGATACGGCAAAAATGTCTGTCAGTCTGGCTGGTACGCGCGATAACTCTCGCAAAGAGTATTCCATTCGGTCTAAACTTGACACATCCAAATATTTTTTTTTCACATTTATAGCAATTTCGAAGATATATAATATCGATACATACAAGGGGTGGAAACCTTGACAAAATTATAAAAATTTAACACCTCACAGATTTCGTTCAAACTTGGCATATCGCAATAATTGTATTAGGCATAGGTTAGGTAGAAAAATTGTCATTATCGAAAATGATCAATATCAAAGATTTAAAATTTCAAATAATCACAACTTTTATAAAATGTGAAATATGATTCCGACTATCTTTAATACTACCAACTCTAGATCTGGTATGAAGATAGGATAGAATGCACCATTGGTACCTCCTCCACATCGGATTAAATCTTTGAATAATTATAACGCTCATAAAATGCAATATAAACGTCCAAGAAAACATTTGAGCAATTTAAAAAATGAAATATATGCGCCCATTATTTCTGGTACCTCCTTCCTAACAGTTCAAAAATTTAAAAAAAAAACAAGTAAGCAAAGGCTACAGTCGAGCGGGCCGACCGTTGAATACCCTACAACACTATAATAAACGATACGATACAGCAAAAGATTAACATTTATTATTGGTGTTTGACTGAAACGCATCTATATGAGATACAGACATTTGACTATATTCTTTAACGAAATCAGCGTTACCAACATAGTCAGAAGTGCGTCTTTCCTGTATTTGTGAACTCTCCAAAAGTCACTGGAATGGACATTTTCGTATTTTGTCTACAAAAGTTGGCAAACTATTTCACATATTGAATATTTTTGGATGGGCATCTAAAACTGCTAGGCTTTTGCAATGTCCGGTAACACACATTCAAATGTGCGATAATTACGACCTGCTGACAATTTTTCAGTTTTTTGGTCCATTCCAACCCCTAAATATATGGCGATCATCTCCAAAAAGAGTAGGCTTCTATTCTGACCCTTATCTTATCCCCATGCAAAATTTCGTAAGGATCGGGTCATAAATGCGACCTGTATATGATATCCTGATATCCTAACTACTTAGTTTTGTTAGCTGTAGAAATATTACCAAATGTTTAATTCAAAATGAAAATATGCCAAAAATGTGACAAAATTGAAAAAAATATGAGAAAATTTTACAATATCAATATTTTCATCTTTAGAGAGATATTTTTATGCGATTTTTTAGGCGTTTTTTCTTTCCTGCCAAGAGACCATTCTGAATTAATGAGAACTGTCGAAATCAGTTCAGCCGTTCTCGACATATAAGAGATCTTTCAAGCATATCTTCTTTGATAGACATATATATCGCACATATTTTGCTATATATCCGTTTTGTTGGATGTTAACATCAATGTAAAGATCAGAAGTAACCTTGTCATGGCTTTGTGATTTCGTCGGGATTTAAAATATTCGCGGTTTAATGAAAAATTTAGAATTTTTTCAACACAAAATATATGGTCTATTTTACCCGCTAAATATTATCCGATAACCACCCAAATTGGTAGGCTTCCTCCCCGCCCTAAACTCTAGCTGCATGCTAATTTCCGCGTCCATAATTGCGACCTGTAGAGCAACTGCAAAATCAAGAAAATTTTCAATTTTTTTGGTCCATTTCGACCCCTAAATATTATGCGATCATCTCCAAAAGAAATAGGGTTCTATTCTGACCTTAACCCCACCTCCATTCTAAATTTCGTGAAGATCGGGCCATAATTGCGACCTGTAGAGTGATTACAAATTAACATGGACAGACGGACAGACGGACAGACGGACAGACGGACGGACGGACATACATAGCTAGATCGACTCAGCTCGGCGAGATAGGAAGATCCATATATACTTTCCTATGTGGGAAATCAATATTTCGAGGTGTTACATAATTTTTGGCCCAATCAAACTTATAATACCCCCAACACATAGTGTTGTAGGGTATAAAAACTCATGTTCAGTGAAGGGAGCAACCAATTTAGTTCAAAGTTTGTAAATCGTAATATTATTATAAGATGTAGGTCAGAACCGAAAATAGACAATATAGGCTCAGTTATTCTTGTGCCTCCCCCAAATCCCTTCTGGTACCTCACCCACAAAGGGGTCACAATTTCCTATGCTTATGTCTATCATAACTTGCAAAACAAGTCGGCGATTCTTAACAACTAAATATTTCTCTTAACCAGAAATCTGATATGAATATGAAAATTATCGGAATTTATGATCTTGCATAAAAGTGGATATAAATCTTCGATTTCCTTCAATTTGCACTTACCAATATTTTTCTCTATATTAGATGAAGTATGAAAATGGAATACTTCGGTCCGCTATTTCTGGTACCTCACGCGTTTTTTTTTTTTCAAATTTTTCAAACATTTACTAATATCTCATATAAAAAATAGGAAATAGTCAATATAGTCAAAACCTGACACGTTTTAATATTTATATCACTCTTAGGTCAGTTACGAATTGGTCAACATTGGCCAACTGCTTAGGAAACTTCCCCATAAAGGGCTGGGGGTATACATGTGTCGGAAATACAGACTAATCCGATTTTTTTGGCTACCATCATGAAACGCCGAAAGCAATTATATCAACATTAGGTAAACATTTTGCAGAATTCTGTCCGCTTTTTTTAATCTAAAGTAAAAATTGAATTTTCTATATATTCGATTAGAAATTCAAAAATACCCAAAGCAAGCCTTTATTTTTAGTTGACAATTGACCGCAATAAATAAAATATAAAAACTGTCCCCACAAATTATTTCTGAATATAATGGCCGAGCCGGATTATGAAGAATTTTCATCATATCGCAATTTTGTAAGTTATGTCGTCCCCTCGTTTATCTTTAAATCACTTCGATTTTCTCTCCCCTCCCTGCCTTTCAGTTAAGCTGTTCCAATGTCAATGACTTGGAATATGAGGATCGTTGCGACTATGTTCGTAGCACACCGGAATGCATGGACAAGGGCTACTTTTTCAATTACATAAAAATCCTCTACTGTTCGTTGGGACCCACAACGGATGCGCAACAGAATTGCTTTCTCATCCTACTGATGAGTATGTGTGTCATTATGTTTGTGATTTTGGGGACAACAGCCGATAAATTGTGAGTTAGGGGATAATTGTGAAAGTGCATACATATAAAATGGTCATATTCTATGGCAGTTTTTGTCCCGCCCTGGAGGTTATGTCAAAAATCATGGGCATGAGTGAGCATTTGGCAGGGGTAACTCTGTTGGCCTTTGGTAATGGTTCGCCAGATTTGTTTACCAACCTGGCCAGCGCCAAGGAATCTTCTTCTACCCTGTTTTCAAATATGTTGGGCTCTTCGATTTATGTGACGGCATTCATTGGAGGTGTTATTTGTTTGATACGCTCCTTCCGTGTGGATGGCAGCAATATTCTGAGAGATACATCTTTCTTCATTTTTGGCATTTTGTCCATTGATTTTATAATGAAAGATGGCTATGTCACCACATGGGAATCGGTTTGTAAGTAGAGGTTATATCAGTCATTGGCATATTTGATAGCCCGTGCTTTCCTCCCCCAAGGTTTGATACTAATTTATGTTGTCTATTTGATAACCATACTTGTGGATCAATATCTGCTAAAGCGGCAAGTTTTAAGTAAGTTCCAGAATGTATTTGAAATCTTTGTATTCCCTGGATTCACATTTTTCCTTTGCTAGGCATGGAGGCATTGGCCCAAAGTGGCAATTTATCTGGTATGTCTATCAAAAATTAAGCTTTTATTGCTTTTGTATCCAAAATTGTCCCTTTCCTAGCCGAGGCATATAAAAGATATTCGAAATTGCACCAAGAAGCCAATATTGATATTGTCCATCGACTGTCCCACACTTCTGTAGATATTGAAGGAACCAGACATTCATTCGAATATGTCGCCCAATCTGATCCAAATGAAAATCTATGGCAACAATTGCGCGATTCTTTGAAACCCTTCGAAATGGATGAATGGCATTCTTCAACGGGCTGCCAGAAGACAATGCTGTGCCTCAAGACTCCAATCTTATGTACCCTACAACTTTTCTTGCCCATAGTCAACTATGAGAGTGAACGGCATGGATGGTCGAAATTGTTGAACTGCCTGCAAGTGGTCATGTCGCCAATAGTTATGTTTTTGTTAATATGTAAGTTGTGTTGATGGGGCTCCCAGATACCGTAGTTCGTATACATATCGACGTAACGTATACGTAACATGGGTTATTTGAGAATTTTATGCCAGAAAATGTAGTACCATATCCCTCATATCTCAATATTTCACATTATATAAGATAAAATCTTAGATGGAAAATGTCGGACTCTTCTGGAAAAACATCAAAATTTTGGAAAAAGGAAAATTGACAATATCGACTCACTGATTCTGGTACCTTCTTTTAAAGAATCTAAATTTTGAATAATTCCAACTGACCTAAATTTACTAATTTATTCGGTAATACCCCAAAGGACTTCCCTGCTTATTTTCAAAAAGATGAACTACTTATTTCATTTCGTGAACCATTCAAAATTGTCCTCCTAAGTAAACTCCCAACCAAAACCCAAAAAATTGATCATTCCTGCCTTACCAAAAGCATACAAATATTAATTTGTATGCTTTTGGTAAGGCAGGCGGCTTGGCTTAACCTTAACCTTAAAATTTTGTAAAATCGTAATATTATAAAAAAATGCTAACTATGCTAGAGAGTGTTCTGAAAATTTAAAATGGATATCGTATTTTGGAGATGTATTTATTCTTTGGTCACAAATCTGACATTTCCCGCAAAAATCTAATAAGAACGATTTGAAAATATCGTAATACTATTGTGGGATTTACGGAGAGGGAGATTTCGTAATGGTTCCGAACTATATTAATGCTACAGATACTTTCTCTGTTTTTTTTTTTTTTTTTTTTTTTTTTTGAAAACCTTTAAATATTTTCTAAATTCATTTGAAACCCCTCACCGCCCCTAGGTGGTCTGAATTGTTGGAAATACTGTTTGTACAGTCTCGGCATTACCATACCACTTAGCATTGTGTGTTTCATGTACACCCGAACCGATGAGCCCCCGAAGTTCCATGCGGTACAATTATACCAACTTTTGTTATTTTTACCTTCCAAATAACCCTTTCAATTTCATAGGTTTTTGCTATACTCACGGCACTCGGTTCTATGTGCACCATCTATTCGTGCGCTGCCGAAACCGTGGAGATTTTATATGTCCTGGGTCTGATACTGGACTGTAGCAATTCGTTTTTGGGTTGCACTCTCTTGGCGTGGGGCAATGGTGTTGGCGATTTGATATCGGATGCCACCTTGGCATTTCATGGCTATCCTCGAATGGCATTTGCAGCCTCAATTGGTGGACCATTTTTCAGTGAGTCAACCACATCAACGAACATTGACTAAAGACAACCTTATGGCAAACCTACTCTATTTTGTAGATACACTTCTGGGCATTGGTTGTGTAATGCTGTTAAAGAACTTGTACGGCAACACCGGCTATGAACCTGTGAGTCCTCAAACGAAAATAGAACAACATATTATTGATAATTATATCACTTCTCTGTAGCTCCCCTCCGGCCCATTGGGCGAAAACTGTTTCGTTTTTCTCCTCCTCGTATTATTTTCAACACTCCTCTGGTCGGTGACAACGAATTTCCACATTCGTCGTTGCATTGGTGTCTTCAGTGTCTGTCTGTATGGCCTGTTCTTCCTCTACACCGTCTTGGGGGAATGTGAAGTTATACAAACTTATGCAGAAATAAGTCAATATGGCACCGAATGATGATGACCCAAAAACAAACTTTGTATTGATAGTATTTTGTTATTTATAGTGCTATTTATCTATCGTTGTTGCTGTTGCTATTGTTATTGATAATTAATATTTGTTGCCTTTTCGGTATTTATTTCCTCAAACAAAAAGAAAGAAAAACAATGTCAATGACCTACAAAATGAATTGGTTGTTGAATAAATATTTAAAAATGGATAGAAAGGATAACGACACGAATTCCAATTTAATTTATCATGCCGTCTAATTGATTGTTTAGTTAAACTAATGAAGTAAGGGACTAATAAACACCTTGGCCTAAAATCAATCAATCTGTGGGGAATGTAGACATTTTTGAAGACAGCTACGGCTTTTCAGTATAAGGACTAGTATTGAATCATAACAACCACAACATATCAATATATTAAATAACCGATGTAGAAAATGAATGGGATCTCCAATTCGAACCTGATTTTACACATTGTGATATTGTATGCAACTACAATTTAAAAAAATTGAAGATAGACTATCACACATCTGTATTGAGAAAATACATTTCAGGACGCTATGTGTAGAGTTCATTTGGCTGTATCGAATGATTCGAACTAGATTTTACACATCCGCCAAACCATTTTCGAAATTCTGAACTTATGTGTCCACTCTTTGGGTCAAGGACATTATCCATTTCTTATACCCTCAGTCATATGACTACAGTGGGTATATACCATTTGATACGGCCAAAACGTGCCTCATCGAAATAATGGTTTTAGCCTCTACGTCTCTTTGGATCAAATCCGTTTCAGGACATTTTGAGTCGATCTAAGGGTGTGTGTCTACTTGGTTGACTGGTGCGCACGATAACTGCCGAAGGGGGGATCTGATTTGGTCCATACTTTTTACATTTTAATACAATTGTCAAACTTAGATCGAGTTCGAAAATGGGAAGCATCTGGTACCTCCCGCACAAAAGGTCAAATTTTCAAAAAAAAAAAAAAAAATGCGCCGTATAGAACAAGAAAGGATCAACCAATTTGGAGTAAACGTTGCAAATCCCAATATCTGTAGTAGTGCTTTGTAAGGTGCAAAAATGAACAATATGGGTCCACTGCATTATGTACCTTGTGGGAAAGTTAAAAGGGTAAAAATTAGAATAAGCTTTTGTAAAATGGGAAATAACCAACCAATTGTCTTCAAATTTCTCTATACCAACATTGCTTTTAGTACCTTCCCCACAAAGGGTCAAATGTTTGAAAGAATAAAACAAGTAAGAAAGCTGTAAGTTCGGCCGGGCCGATCTTTGAATACCCTCTACCGTCTTGAACGAATTTGGCAATTTTCAAAAAAATAAAATCCGTTAAAAATCCTGTTAATATCTTAACAATACCGAATGTAGCCGTTATATAAGGGTCTATGTGACGACGTGGACCTGCATAGGCAATTTTTGTCATAAGCCACATTCAAATGCGAAACTGGAAAAAAATCGAAGAATAATGTAGCTAAAATCATCAAAATACCGAATATAGGGGGCTGTACCAAAACGTAGACTTGCACAGACAATTTTTGTCATAGGCTGTAGTATCTAATACGAACTTCAAATACAAAATTTGAAACATTTCCGGGGAATAATGTCGCTAAAATCATCAAAATACCGAATATCGGGAAGTACCGCATTATGGGGTCTATACGAAGATGTGAACCTGCGTAGACAATTTTCTGTCATAGGCTGTAATATCCATTACGAACTTCAAATACCAAATTGGAAACAATTCCGGTGAATAATGTAGCTAAAATTATCAAAATACTAAAAATCGGGAGGTGCCGTTATATGGGAGCTATACGAAGGAGTGGACCTGCACGGACAATTTTCTGTCATAGGCTTTAGTACCAATTACGAACTTCAAATACCAAATTGGAAACAATTCCGGTTGAAAATGTCGCTAAAATCATGAAAATACCGAAAATCGGGAGGTACCGTTATATGGGGTCTATACGAAGACGTGGACCTGCATAGACAATTTTCTGTCTAAAGACTTTAAACACCAAATTCGAAACAATTCCGGTGAATAATATCGATAAAATCATCAAAATTCCGAATATCGCAAGGTGCTTTTATATGGGGCTATACGAAGGCGTGGACCTGCACAGATAATCTCCTGTCATAGGCTGTAGTATCTATTACGAACTTCAAATACCAAATTTCCCGTGAATAATGTCGATTCAATCAGCAATACGCCGGAAATAGGGAGGTACCATAATATGGGTGCTATACGAAGAGGTGGACCTGCACATACAATTTTCTGTCATAGGCTGTAGTATCCACTGCGAACTTCAAATACCAAAATTTGAAACAATTCCGGTGAATAATGTCGCTAAAATCATCAAAATACTGAAAATCGGGAGGTGCCGTTATATGGGAGATATACGAAGGAGTGGATCTGCACGGTCAATTTTCTGTTATAGGCTGTAGTACCCATTACGAACTTCAAATACCAAATTTGATTCCGGTGAAAAATGTCGCTAAAGTCATGAAAATACCGAAAATCGGGAGGTACCGTTATATGGGGACTATACGAAGACGTGGACCTGCATAGACAATTTTCTGTCTAAGGACTTTAAACACCAAATTCGAAACAATTCCGGTGAATAATGTCGATAAAATCATCAAAATACCGAATATCGCAAGGTGCTTTTATATGGGAGCTATACGAAGGCGTGGACCTGCACAGATAATCTTCTGTCATAGGCTATAGTATGTATTACTAACTTCAAATACCAAATTTGAAACAATTCCCGTGAATAATGTCGCTTCAATCACCAATACGCCGAAAATAGGGAGGTACCATAATGTGGGTGCTATACGAAGAGGTGGACCCGAACATACAATTTTCTGTCAGAGGCTGTAGTATCTATTACGAACTTCAAATACCAAATTTGAAACATTTCCGGTGAAAAATGTCTCTAAAATCATGAAAATACCGAAAATCGGAAGGTACCGTTATATGGGGTGTATACGAAGACGAGGACCTGCATGAGTAAATTTTTATCAACCTACTTTATTTTGTTCGGTAGCTAGAATAATTTCCACAGACGGGCAGACGGACGGACATCGCTAAATCGACATAGAATTTTATGCTGATCAAGAATATACTTTGTGGGGTCTAAAATGTATATTTCGAGGCGTTACAAATGGAATGACAAACTTAATATACCCTCCATACTATGGCGGAGGGTATAAAAATAAGAAATAAAAAATAAACAACACAATGTAATATTTCTTTTATTACTTTACTTAGTCTCAATTCTTACGACGAAAATAGGCCGTAAAGAAAAGTGGGCTTTGAAAGAGAAGATTCCGAACTAATGTTAAATCTGATTCAATATGCAAGCCCTTATGGGGGAATGGAACATGTCTGGTGGCAAACCCGTCGAATACGTTCAAACGTGTATTTTTCTTTTGTGATCACCTTTTCGCCTTTACTAATGGAATAACAATAAAAAACATAATTCTCTTCCTTACCACCACCTCCCCTTTTCCCTGCCCCTTCCACAGAAACAAGAATTATGTACAGCCATTGTTGTGTGGCAGTCGATATGTTGTGGTTAAGTGATTAACAATGAATTGGATGTCTTGGCTTTATTTATGCCACAATTCTAGGGATATGGCTGACCTTGAGTTTCTGTTGTTAAAACGTAACTGACCCGCCACCTGCCATCCTGTTTGTGTTTTCATAAAAAACAACTCACACACATACACACACACCCAAGAGTTAAAAAAGGAGCTAGAGCAACTGGAAAGCATGTCATTGCCACAAACTGTGGCACGCATTGAATACCTCTGTGGGCCAGCAATTGGTTGCCTCCAACCCACACCTACAACGAACCGTGGCAGAGTTCCTCCATACCTAGGTCAATGATTACCAACTGACCCGTGTTCTAAACATACACACTTTTTTCCTCCGACGAAGTATCCAGCGAAGGACAATGATGAATGGTGATTTTCTTTTCGTCTTTTCATTTTTTCTTCCTTGAATGCTTTTCTGTTGTTTGGATGGTTAAAAAACGACCACCATTTGATTTGAGCAAAACTCATTGCGTGCCAAGCGAATATTTAATGAAGAGCCATCAGTTATTTTGACCCGTAATCTGTTCTCTTTTCTTTCCTTTTTAGAGCAGGACTAAAGCATAGCTGAAGTAAAGAGAATTGTGATTTCTTTTTTTGCAAATTCTTTCCTTCCATGAGTTTACAACTCTGATTCTTTGGGGCGCTTCTTCTATCCGGAAATATACCACCGACGCATAGCGATAGCCTCTTAATAAAATCCTCGTAACGTAATAAATGAAAGTAAATGAAACAATTTCAATTTCGTTCATGCCTGCAATCGAATTTAGTTAACTAACAAGGTCAGCATGTCAGACGTTGTAATCAATTACCGTTAATTGGCAAATGTCAATCAGTTTATTAGGCAAGTGAAAGATATTTAGGAAGGAACGGATCGGAACGAAAGAACGAAGAAAGCGAAATAGACGTGTTTTCATGGTCAAAAGAAAATGAGGAAATAAGTAAAACACTGCAGGGAATTCGAAATAAATTGGCAAAGATACAAGCCGATACATGTGTGCTTTCCACTTTTCCGTTCGGTAAGGAAAGCATTAGTGAGAGCCATGCCAGAAAGATAGATAAATTTCGATAGAAAAATTGCGAAGATACAAGGCGTATAAAATTGAGTTTTGCTTTATCGTGTAAAGTATGGAATATGTTGGTGAGATGGCATGGCACAACAAGAAAGACAGATTAACTGCGATTGGAATTAAAAATGCAAATCTGTGCTTTTCTATCATATGGACTTTTTCGTCCGTCTGTCTGTTTGGCTGGTGAGCATGCTAACTCTCGAAGGGAATATCCGATTTCGTCCAAACTTGGTATATCGTAATATTTTTCTCAAACTTAGATCTAGTTCCTTCTGTTACCTCTCCCACAAAAGGGTAAGATTTTCATAGAAAATAAATTACCGCCTAGGAAGAGTACGGATAATCCGATTTTGTTATAACTTTCCAAATCGTGATATTTACATTACCACAAAATTGGATGCGGGTGGTTGTATGGACAAGATCGGACTATTCCTTCTGGTACCTCCCCCACGAAGGGTCAAAATTTGGAATACCTAAAACGCTCATAAAATGCGAATTCTCTCCAAATTTTACACATACCAATTTTTTT